GGCCGTGTGGATTCGATCTGCACCATGATGGCACGACACCCAGTGGACTTTGGGGTCCAGCTGCATCGTCTGTTCACTGCAGATCGCCCCACCTTTGAGCTGCTCATTCGCCAACGTTTGTTGCACCGCTGGCTCCGTGCGACCTGGGGTGGCTCAGCATCATTTGACAAGCTGTACACCAAGTCGTTTGGACACAAGATGAGCAGAGAGTCGGTGGTTGAGCTGTTCCGGGCCCTGCAACACTCCGACACCCTGGCACCCATCGTTTCCGAGACGGAAGCTGGTGACGAGCTGACCCTGTCCAGATTGGACTTGGAACTGGTGCTGGCACTGGCTGAGGTGCTTGCAGCAGCCCATAGCCCTCTCTACTTTGCATCCGATGCAGCCGTCATGGTGTCCACTGGATGCACCATTGAGATCATCCCTGCGCACCGTGGGCTGCGCTCCCTCTCGGCTCCAACCATGCTAGCTGTCCTCATGTCAACCCACCTTGGTGAAGAGCTGTGGCGCATCATGGAAACGATGTTTGATGGTGATGACGACATGAACCGAGTCATGGCGCACCTGTACGACATTCATGAGAGTGGATTCGTCAGCCTTCCACACATCGGCATCACACGATGGGATCAGGAATTGGGCCGATTTGTCGTCCCGACTGACGAAGTGGATGACACTGCCACCCCGGTGGACGACTCCACCATGACCCAAGTGGTCAACCGTCAGTACTAAGGTGCTACCGGCCAACCTCCTCGACCCAACCTCATCCTTCACCATCACCACCTGCAACCTGAACGGCCTCAAGATCAACGGACATCTCGTGGCTCGACGTCTCAAAAAACCTCCAACCTGCGTCGTCTTTCAAGAAACGAAGATGCGCAATGCACAACAACTCGATACCTTCCACCACCACCTCAACAATGAGGTTGGTGCTGGCAACTACACCCTCTTCACCAACGATCCAAGAGCAACCACTGCCGACCCGGTTCACCGTCGGCACTGCGGGGTAGCCAGCTTCTTTCACAAGTCCTTGCCTGGCTACTCCACCTTGGTTCACGTGTCCAACCACGATATCCCGGGCCGTTACCTGGTGGTCAGAGCATTGTGGAGTGACCTGCCGGTGTACATTCACAATGTCTATGCTCCTGTGGAGCCCCTTCTCCGGGGTGATTTCTTCGCATCACTGCCTCGTGACTTTGAGCCCAACAGCCTTCACGTGGTGGGTGGCGACTTCAATATGCCACTGCTTTCATCCCTCGATGCCACGACCCTGCACTCAAGTCAGGGGAGTGGCAGAACGGACTGTGTGGAGTGGCTCACAGCACTGGGTGTGGTTGATGTGTGGCGCCAGCTCAATCCATCCACACGTCTGTTTAGTGGCCCTGGGCGGGTCAACCGGCTAGACTACCTCTTCTTGGATAGCGCGATGGCATCCCATCTCAACCCCGTGGCCACATATGACCCGAACGGCTATGGTGGTGACCATCTCGCCCACACTGTGACTCTATCCCAAAGTCTCTGCACCACTACCAAGGGCTACTGGCGACTACCACGAGAGCTGCTGTCCGATCCCAACATCCAACGTGCCATCACCATGGAGGCCACCACTCTTCTTGGCAAGATGCGAGCCGACGAGACCCTCAACCATGGTGCGATGTGGTATGGCTGGCTGAAACGAATGAGACGCCAGCTCATCAAATGCCATCGGCTACACATCGAATCGGCTAAAACCCTACTCCACCACCTGCGACTCCGTCTCGCAGCTGCAAAACGGGCACTGGACGGTGACGGTGACGATGTTTCCAAGGTTGCTGCTGTTGCTGCGGCTCAGCTAGCCTACGATTCAGCCAAGTCTGAGCATGGCCAATATGCCCGCGATCGACAGTTCGACTTCCATGCGAATTCGAATGAGCGGGGAACGTCTCATTTCTTTCGGAAGCCGTTGGGAACCAAGGTGCCCATCAACTGTGTCACCGTGGATGGGGTGATGATCACCGATGAGCCCACCGTCCAAACCACGTTCACGGCGCACTGGAGATCCATCATGGCGAGCCCACAGGATACCAACCCACCAGACCACCATCGCCGTCGTGCTGAAATCGAGTCCCTCACGAAGCGACTCAACCTGGTCGACCGTGAGAGTCTTGACCGGCCCATTACAACGCTCGAGCTGTGTGATGCGATGAAGTCGATGAATCCATCCAAGTCGCCTGGTCCAGACGGCTGGTCGGCAGGGTTCTTTCAGGTAGCCCCAGAGATCTTCTCGGAACTGTTGTTGTTGGTGTTCAGCTACCAACTCACCCACCATGGCTGCCTACTTCCTCACCAGCGTCGCAGCGCCATCACCCTGCTGTACAAGAGTGGTGATAGAGGCCTGCCTGGCAACTACCGACCCATCTCCCTTATGCCAGTGGAGGTGAAAGTGTTGTCTCGTGCCCTGGCCTTCCGTCTCGCTCGTCATGCACCCCAGCTTATCCACCCAACCCAAGCTGTCTTTGTGCCCGGACGCAGACTCCACGAATGGTCCAAGCCCTCCAACACTACTGCACGTTGGAGGACCAAGACAGCTATGCCACGTTTCTCGACTTCTCGAAGTGTACGACATGGTGGATCAATCTTTCCTGTTTGACGTGGTTAAGGAGATGAACATGGGTGCAAATTTCATCTCATGGGTCCGTCTGCTGTACAAATCACCGGTGGCTCACCTCCTGTTCAACGGCACATTGGGCCCAGCCATCAGGCCAACTCGTGGAGTGAAACAAGACTGCCCACTGTCATGTCTGCTGTTTGTGTTCTACCTGGAGCCTCTTGGTGACGTGCTGACGTGCTACGTGATCGACCACACCTTGGGATCACTCTGCCCCATGGAGAGTTCATGACTAGCATATTCTTTGCTGACGTCTCGACCCTGCTATCGAAGGACCTGCCTGCTGCTGTGGAGCAACTAGGCATTGTTGAGGAGTTCTGTGCTGTGTCTGGTGCTCGGCTGAACCAAACCAAATGTCAAACCCTGGTTCTCAACGGCCACCTTGACCCTGCTGACACCGATGGTGGGGGTCTCCTGAACATTGTGCCCTCAGGCCAACCTGTCAAGTACCTCGGGCTCATGTTCGGCCACCGACTACCATCCGACTACCAGCTCAACCTCGTCAATGAGAGGTTCCTGTCCAGCTTCCAACATTGGGGTTGCCGTGCTCGCACACTGCAAGGACGTCGGCTGCTGGCCAACACAGTCATGTTATCACTCCTGTGGCATGTGACGGCTGCTCTTCCGGTGCCACCTGCAATGGTGCAGAGCTGGCAGTCCATGCTCAACCGATACATCCTCGGTCGGAAGACTGTCCCCACCGACCGTCACCACCCCATGTTGTCCTCCCCACTACAGTTTGACCTCAGGCTGGGTCTGGGTCTACCCCACGTGGCGTCCAGGATTCGTGCCCAACGGCTGCAGCTCCTTCAGCGTGCCATGACCGTGTCAACTGCGGACCGACCGTTATGGCAGCCACTGGTGTTACGGCAGTTTGAGAGGTGCATGGGTCGGCTCCACCGTGCATCCAACCCATTCGACTTTTTGCTCTACCACCCACACCACAAGTCGAAGTGGCTCATGCTGTGGGAACTCCATCCACTGTGGATTGATGTGTGGAGACAATGGTCGGCTACACCGATGGATGGTCGCATTCAGCTGCCCCTCTCCAGTGCGACTATTATGAGTCTCCCAGTGTGGCTTACAACATTCGAGCGGTCCATGTCGAATGGGAAATGTGCTGCCAGCATCGTCAACTCGCCCACCACTCGTCGATGGTGTAGCGATGGTGCATCCAACCAGCTACGCTGTCTGCCTGACATCGTCGCTGTGCATGGTCGATGGCCGACTCGTGGAGAGTTCATGGCGATGATGTCTGATTGAAACTCAGCTGTCCAAGTGGAGATTGGCATGGATGGACGCATGCAATAGGTTGCAAAACGAGTTCGTCACTTCTATCGTGAAAGTATAGGTGGACCAGGATTATTCAAAGTGTCTCACTGAAATAATTATTGACGAAGTAGTTGCACAGCAACATCCATGTCGAGACTGAACTGAATGTACATAGGTATATTTCCGAAGTGTCACCAAATTTCCGAAATCTATCACAATCTGATGTAGCGGGGAGCATTTCGGGTATTTGCTTCGTGGTTCCAGGTGTTGGAATAAAAGTACGCCTCGACGATGAATAAAAAATGAGTTTCAAATGGATACAAATCACGTTAAACATAGCAAAAACCGTGGGTTTTAGGTATAAAACGGATTAAAACAAGGGTAATCGGGTAAAAGACGTCCAAAAAGTTAGATCTTTTACCCATCAAATACCACCCGTCTAAAACCCTTATATCTTTTTAATTTGCATTTTAAACCCTCCTACCTGCTCGTTTAAGGGTATTAGCACGTATATATCATGTTATCTACCTGTTTGGTATCTTAATACCCAAAGCAAACTGTCCGCTGTTGTATTCACAACTTTATACTTGAAGTACTTCTAGGTCAAAACTTTTGGAGTAGACAATTACGGAGACGTGAAAACATGAGAGTGGTTACGACCACGACTCAACGCAATTCGTTGCATGTGACGAAGACAAAACTTCCGCTGACTTTCCGCACGCTTCGCCGCCGTAGCATGGACCATAGACCCATAGCGCGCAAGCACAGAGCAGTATCAGGCAGTATCAGTGTCTGTCCGCTTCCCGCAGAGGCATCAACGATACATGAAAGTTCGTCAATGCAAACGTGAGACGCTGAATCTCATCATAGAACTTGGTACTCCATGTGAAAGTAGCATAAGATACCTTCCACAGGCTGCAGACACGACAGAAAAAGTTTTCGACCACAACACGATCGGACGACACACGACGATTCCCCACGACGTCATCAGGGTCCAACATGCCACGCGGCGGGTTCTTCTTGGGATGAATTGCACGGACGTCCACCGAAGCGCCGTAGTACCCCTTGTCAACGAGAAGCACCCACATTCCTCGGTAAGTGTCCACTTGCTCCCCATGATCCAAAATGCTGAGCTCGTTGTCCGACTTGGCCAGGGCTCCAACGTGCTGATCCATGCGTGACCGCATGATGGTCAGATCCGCAATGGCTCCACGGTGGGCTTCGCTCATGTCCACAAGAAGGCCTTGGGGGGAGACGGACGCTTCAATCTTCAAGCCGTACAACTTGTGCTTCGCACTAAAGTACGGCTTGGCTTCGCCATGGCGTCCGGCCGGTCGCTCGGTGGGCTGGAACTTGACGTCGGTAGCATGGAGGGTGTAGGGATAGTTTCCAAAGGTATGGCCTTGTGCGCGTAACTCCGACATGTTGGGAATCTTAACAAACTCGGCTTAAAAGACAGGCATCACCACTTCGACAACTCGGAGAATCAGCTTTTGGAACGTGGGGGCTTTGAACCCAAAGTCCAACGCGTGCTTCTCCCAATTGTCGTAGTGCTTGAGCACTGTCAATGTCATGAAGAGGGAGTCCATTGGTGTTGTCTTCGATTTGGACCCGCGGCCGTCGTTCCAACGTGCCTTGTGTGGGAGCTCCGCCACGGCCCAGAGCACGTCAAACTCACGCCGGGTAAAGTTCGTCATGACTCGTACGCTTTCTTCGCCGGAGTCGTTGCTGACTAGGGTGATGTGTGGCTACGCCTACTACTGCCGTTTTGCCCACCTCCAACTCGAGCGTCCCGACGCTATATGTCCGTCCGCCGATGGCTGCGCCTCCAAGACCCCGACTGTCCACTGCGCTCATCCGTCCTGCATGTCCTTCACACCCTGCGTGCTCCTATCAACTACCGGCAATTGTGGGCCAAGTACCCGTACTCCCTCCACCTTACGCCGACCTCCGCGACCGACCAGCGTGCCTAGCGTTACCGACGCGATGGTGTCAAGTCCTGCGTCAAGTCCAACACCCCAGCCTGCCTCAAGACCGCATGGTGCCCATCACCTTCGCGATGGTTACTCCAAGAATGTTCTGCGGCCTATCACCCTCCCGTCCATCTCATCGAAACGTCTGGCTCTCTCACCCACCCACGGTATTTATTGGTACCCCCACCTATTTATTGAAAACCTCTCAAAACCATTGCCACCCTACGCACATGCTTTTGCATAGGTATTAGGAATTGGATGAGCCCATTGGGCAACATTAGTATTGGGATAAAACCTAGCTTGGGGAACGACATGTATATGCAGACACGTTCCTGCAATCATTGAAATCAAGGCACACGGAAAGGCAAATATGGTTCGGCTACGATATTGTCTGCAAGCTAGAAAGTCATTGGAAGGTAGAATTTTTGTTTCAGCGATGAAGTGACTCGAGTATTGTATTGCTCCAAACTAATCTCGCCAATATGGTATGGAAAAGCCCGACCTATCGTTCCTACCTGTCTTGCACGCTTACTGCCACGACAAAAAACTGTCAATATCAATTCAGCCCCCGCCTACTCATGAGAACTGGAACTATTAGGGACGGAGGGGGCCATGAGCGAACGAACAGCCGTCAATCCCGTAGCATTGGACTGACCCGGCGGGAGGCCACCGGCAATCGCGAACTGGATATCGCCTTGGTGCTTGAAGAGCACAATCGCATCAAAGTGAATTTTTTGGGGCATACGGAGAAGAAGCTGCGAGCGATCTTTTCTCACCTAAAAAAACTAGCCCAGAGTGGATGGCCAACCGAAACAAATTGTGGACGGTGCGTTGCCAAAATTCAAATGTCAATCATTTATAAATAATATAAATAGATACGTCGACGTCATTCAAAGTAATTGCTCGTGGAGGGCAGCCGGCTTATCAAGCAGCACATCGTTGACGCTGCGGAATATTGAAGATGATGCATCGAAACCATTCAAAGGTTTTGCGAACGAAGGTTGGGACAATAAGGCAGCGAAGTTACGCCGACGCTTGCACAAGTTACGAAATGGTGGCGACACCAAAGTGGTCAAAATTAATGGTACAGAGCTTGTCGATTCATATGGATAATACGTAGTCCGTGAATTATGGGTAAATAGAGAAGCGTGTGCATCCCATGAGTTTTGAATAAGTCAGGAGCAGCTTGTCCGTCTCGGCGTTAAGCGAACCAAATGTATCGTACTGGCGGTACTAAGAAGATATATACCATTTGAAGAACGGCCTCGACAATTGGCTAGCGTTTTACAACGCTCAAGTCGTGGCATGCAGCGACAACATGAAGGAAGTTGAAGTCGCCGCATCATTCTCGAATGGAGAGATGGGCGCAATGCGGCACCTTACGAAACAGCGTGTCGCCGATGTCGAGTGCGCTGTACAACGAGCATCATCTGTGAAAGCAAAATGGTTTAGCCCAGCAACACCTCCGTATTTTCCTGGGCATCTACAGGAAATTACTGAAGCGATCAGCCGTGGTTCGCCAGTGCGAAATTGTCTAACGTTAGAAAAAGTGTGAATGAATAGTGAACAACATTCGTCACGAAATGTGAATTGCATAAATGAATTCGCTATCGCCTACTTGACGTTGGTGGTAATTTGAGGAAGGAATTTCAAACTTCCGTCGCTGGTGGCTTTGGTGACAAGAAGTACATCCTTCTAACTCAATAGGCGAAAACTAGTCACCTTCGTCGGCCATCCTACCATTTTGACAGGCTGGAAGAGGCTGGAATAGAGCTCACGCGGCCATTTCAGCAACGGCGTCTCGCTCATGGATTCGAGCGTTACGTTGAGCTGCTTGAGCAACACTTTTTCCAGGACTACCCGGTCTTGTTTGAGACTTGGCTTTCGCAATTCTTGCATGCCAAAATGAAACGGCATCTGGACGTTCGGATCAAGTCCGCGAAACTTGCTAATGCATTTCGCATTTTTCGCAGCATTCTTGCCTAAATGTGTGTTATTATAAACGTTGGTGATGTGTTCTTTGTACCTTGGGTGTACCAATCACCACTATTATTTTGTGTGTCATACACGTACGATAGTATTTCCATACCGTGCTGTCCCATGTCTTTGAGGAGCTTCGTGTATTGCCCTAGTAGCTTCTTCTTTTGATGCCCAAATTGGCGGTCGGTCAGACGCTCCACGGTATTCTGCGGAAACATAGTCGAAACTCGATCCTTGTAGCCTTGTTTTTCACTTGCTGGAAGCTCCTTCCACTTTCCACTACAATTTTGCTTCACGAAGTTGGCATCGGGTTCAGTTTGCTTGAGAGCTATGAAGTAGATTAACATGCATGAACTAGTTGGTATGCCATCCGAGGTACCTTGGAAATCAACCTTCATATCCAACATGATGCCCAATCACAATCACCCATGGGCTATGATTGGACAAAGTTATGTTCTCTTGTATCAAATACATGTAACATTTAATATTGAGCTTGTTGGACATGTAATACAGTTTTTATATTAGTTACACTTCTAAATTTAATTATTTTAATACTTTATAAATATCATTATTAACAGTAACTGTAAGTGGTTCTGAGGATTTCGTCACCCAAATCAGGCATACAGTACATTATTCAAGTGGCCGGGAATTAAATTCACATAGGAAAATTTCAATTTTAGTCGCGACGAGCACATTGACCATGCGATACAATGATGGGAGTTATAAAGCTCGCCACGATCTTTAAAATGCATGTTTTCGCAGCCTTATCGGATGAATGGGTGGCGAGTTTTGGCACTCAGAAAGTAGGCTAAGCTGGCCGGAAAATACATGACTAATAAGGCCCATACAATAGTACGTACATGACAATTCGGAATACAGACTGTATTTTACCCCGCTGTACTAAACCAAGTACTTCATAAACAAAACTGTTTGCCGATTAGTATGCTCTTATTGAATAATACAGTAGACTTGGTAAATGTATAGTTACCCGACCTTACCCGCCCGACCCGAAGTCACTCCCCCAATATTCGCCAGAATCCCAGCCAGAGAAGGTCATACAATGGTGGAAGCGACTCGCGTAGAGACCAAGTCGTTAGACGAACAGATCAGCCGCTTGCGGCGCGCGGAGAACCTGACGGAGAATGAAGTCATGGATTTGTGCAAGAAAGCCAAGGAGATCCTTAGCGCTGAGTCCAATGTGCAGCCTGTGCGGTGCCCCGTGACCGTGTGCGGCGACATCCACGGCCAGTTTTACGACTTGCTCGAGTTGTTTTGCATTGGTGGGCAATGCCCCGACACGAACTACCTCTTCATGGGGGACTACGTTGATCGAGGGTATTACTCGCTGGAAAGCGTGTCCCTGCTCGTTGCCCTCAAGGTCCGTCTCTCTCTGTCCATATGTAGACTTAGCTACAGGTCGTCCCCATCACAAGACCATCATCGCCGTGGCCTTGTAGGTCCGCCACCGCGAACGCATCACGATTCTGCGCGGCAACCACGAAAGCCGTCAAATCACGCAGGTGTACGGGTTCTACGACGAATGCCTGCGCAAGTATGGCAATGCCAACGTCTGGAAGTACTTCACGGACCTGTTTGACTTTCTGCCGATGACGGCGTTGATCGAAAACCGCGTGTTTTGTATGCACGGCGGGTTGTCTCCCAGCATCGACACGTTGGACCACGCGCGTGCGCTAGATCGCGTACGTCCGTCCTCGTCATGCCATGTTGTCTTGGCTCACACTCCACGCCCATGTAGGTCCAAGAAGTGCCGCACGAAGGCCCGATGTGCGACTTGGTGTGGAGCGACCCCGACGACCGCTGTGGATGGGGCATCTCCCCGCGCGGCGCCGGCTACACATTCGGCCAAGACATTACCGAGCAGTTCAAACGCAGCAACGGCCTCACGTTCATTGCGCGTGCGCATCAACTGGTCATGGAAGGCTACCAATGGACGCACAACCGCGGCGTGGTGACGATCTTTAGTGCGCCCAACTACTGCTACCGCTGCGGCAACCAAGCCGCGCTGATGGAGATCGATGAGGTGATGGCCGACCGCGGCGGCGACAAGGTGTACGATACGTGCAAGTTCATCCAGTTCGACCCGGCCCCGCGGGACCACACGTTCAACGAAAAGAAGCGCACCCCCGATTATTTCCTCTAGGCCTGCCGCCCACGAAGAACGTAGATGACCCTTTTCTATTGCATATTAAAACACATCTCTTGTTCCATCGCAATGGTTGATGTCCAACCTTGGGGCACTTGCGGTATGTATGGAATCCTGCGTCTCGAGTGATAGTTGCAGCGATGGGGACTGAAAAGTCTATTATGTCGCTATGTGGATAGTACTCGCTGGTCAAGGTGTAGATCACCAACGAACGATATATCAAAACTGGAGCAGTACAGTACATAGTGACTACCTACTAGTACATAGGTAGTTTTTCGTCATATGTACTAGTACACAGTTCGTAGAATGATGGGTAGCCAAGTCGTCGTTGCTAATTTTGTATACCTTATGACTGGCCAGTACACTCAGTCATACCGGTACACATCGGCATTGCAATAATAATGTATATGACAAATGCAGCGAGAGTTTAGATTGATGCAACAACCGATAGCTAAATCATGGTCAAGAACGCTTCGAGCTGACGTTTGAGTTCGACAGAGTCGGCATGCTCGGGGTACACTTGAAGTGCCTTGGACACTTTGGCATAGGCGTCCTGAAAGTCGCCGATTTTGTACGCCAATAGCGCGCGGTTGTAGGTGGGTTCAAACATAAACGTCGCGAGTCCGTCGGCAAACTGAAAGTGCGCGCGCGCCTGGTCCACATTACCCTTGCGAAGTTCCAGCACCTGCAAACAAGGCTATCAAAAGCGAACGAACGAACGACCAGAACCAAGTACCCCGAGGTTGTTGTAGCTCTCAGCGTGGTTGCTATCAACGGACACGGCGATCTTGAACGCCTGGTACGCTAGCCCCAGATCACCAATGCCCACTGCCACTTGGCCAATGTTGTACCACACGTCCGCCATGTTATCGTCCGACGCCAGCGCCAGCGCGCGTTCAAAGCACGACAACGTCAAGTCGTACTAGACGAGTTGGCCGCATTGAAATGTGCATGTAGATATGATATAGTAATACCAGTAGTATTGATAGCATGAAAGGAACAGCACATGGGTTGATGAAGTGTGGTTTATTAGTAGTACCTGAGAAGCGTAGAAGCAACACAACCCGACATTGCACCACAACTCGGTCGTGTTGACGTCCATTTGAAGCAGGCGGCGGTAGTAGCGCAACGCGACTTCGGGCTACAACCACGATGATTGTCCACATGGTTGAGGTATATATATATATATATATATGAGTTTACTAGACAACAAGTAAGTCCCATAGTATTTCCGTGATTAAAGGTAAAAAAGATCAGTAGCAGTGCGTAGTACGTACATGGTCGGTGTAAAAATGGTTGGACGCCAAGCACGCAATCGCTTCAATGTTGGCCGGGTCCAGTACCAGCACCTGGTGGTACAATAGACATTTGAAATATGTGAATCACGCACGTTCGTACCAGCGTTGAACCAACATGGGTATTATTACTACCTCTTTGTACGCTTCGACGGCATGCTTCGAGTCGTTGAGCATGTCGTACACGCGAGCGATGCCCACGAGGACATGCACGTCCCCTGGAAATGCCTCTCTACAAAATCATAAGTCAGACATTGCCAACGGGCGATCCTTGTTTCTTACTTGGCCTTGGCGTAGAGTTCCAGCGCCGTGTTGGGCTGGTCGAGTTTCAAGTACACTTTGGCCAGCTCCAAGTACGTGACCACCATGGGTTGGTTGCGCAAGCTCGAGTCAAACTGCTTCTCTGCTTCGCGAAGCAGACCTGCAAACAACACCCGTTACAACCACCACACCAAATGTAAACAGCATGTACCCAATTGGTAGTAGCATTTGCCGATGCGTGCCTTCCACCACCAATCCTTGTAGTCCGCCTACAAGTCGACGTGCCATCCTTTGGTTCAAGGAGAGATAGACCCAGCTACAACGTACTGCGACGGTGGCTTCAGCGGCCAACTCTAGTGCCTTTTTCGGATTGTGGTCATGGTACAAAAGGTAGTCGACCAGCGCTTTGGCAATGGGCGGGCGCGTTGCGTAGCGCTTGAAGTCGAGGCGATCAGGGTTGATGAACACACCTTCATCGTCGCGGTTTTGCATGGATGCCGTGCCCAGTCGGACTTGTCTCCCCAACGAAGTCGGCGGACGAGATGTTCCTAAGACGAGAGTGAAGTGTCCAGCCACAAGTTTCGGCACGGATAGACCCGTCAACTACATTTTCATGGCCTCACTACGCACCTGGTCGACTGCCCTGCATGGCTTGATCAATGGACATGCCACTGCCTGGACGGGAACTCGTGCCAGGGCGTGCGAAACCGCTCAACGGACGTCCGCTAGACGACATGGGGCGGAAACTTTGGTCGCCGGCAGCATTGCTCGAGCGGGTCATGGGCCGGCTAAGGGACGTGCCCGGTCTACAAGTCAAAAACTGTTGAAGGCTTGCCAACGCCCAAGGTGGCGTACCGAGGCATGTGAGCCATGACGTTGTCGTCCAATAACAGATCTGCCGCACCATCTTCTTCCATTTCCGAGTCGTCCATGTAGGTTTGCTGCGTGAGCGACCTACACTTGACAAACCACACCGCCTGCAACAATACAGGACACACGGTGTTTACTCACACACTTTGTGTGCGCAACGAGGTGGACATATGTACGTACTTGGTCATAGGGATTCTGATCCAGAATGTCCGTACAAAGGTCGACGCTTTCTTGGAAACGTCGCTGTCGAGTCCGAAGCAACGCCAAGAAGAACGGGTCCACCCGATGGATCACATTCGCCATCGACGCCATAAGATATACCAGTTCTGAAACGCCAGTGAAACGAACATCCGCCAGTTTTTACAGGTTGTGCTTTTTTCAAAGCTGTACAATAACGCTCTATGGATTCATTTACATTTTGACCCCAGCAATCCCATATGGCTGGCTCGAGCTGTCGGTCCATCGGTCAAGGCTGCGGCAGCAAAATCTGGCGTCGCAGCATACACACTCAACATTCCTCACAAGAAGATATGGCAGAAACAAAATACGCCGATAGACTCTTGTCCTACATTTGTGATTTTCTGGAACTTATTTTGTCAGTTTGTATGAATGACTTTGGGATTCCAGACACACATTTTTTTAAGAATTCCATTTTTTTGACATTTCCACTGGCCGTTTGGCCCTTGTACAGACTGTACTATATATTAACGTTAATAGTATCAGAATCACCTGACTTGGACAGTACAGTATCACTTGTGGGATCCAGACCAGCCCTTGATAAGATTCGTACATAAACGGGAGAGCTCTATTTCAAGGATGGATTACTTGTACCTTACATATCAATGTAAAACACAGATAAATTAAGTGAACGAAGTGGAATCTACATGTTGAAGTGTGATTGGCCCAACTAGGATACTTTTGACAAATCAAACCAACTGGTTTGAAATACATGATGTCGAAACTCCCCAAACCTACCGTACAGCATTTGACCTCAACGACAGTGTACAATTGTATCATGTGATGCTGCAATGCCGTAGATAAATGTAGAAATATGTATTTTTTTGAAAATATGCAAAGCATGAATTGCTTCAATGCCTAGATCGGAGCGAGAGTCGCCTTGTACCACGCATTGGCCGTCGAGCAAATGTAGATGAACGATGTATCGTACATGATCGTGCCTTGGACACACGTGCCCGCCGATGCCGTGCCAGCGCTTCCAGCCATTGCAAACGTGCCCCCCGTGACGATCAAACTGGGCGTCGACACCGTCAACGACGTCGCGCCTGAATGAGTGATCGAGGCCACCGCGGCTGTCAAGGCGAGATCTCCAGCCATTGAGACCCCACCGGTTGCCGCCGTGACCAAGAATGTCGATGTTGTTCCATCGGACGTGACTTTGAAGTTGTTCGCGTTGACATGCAGCAGCCCGCCAGTCACAACTGTCGACGACCCTGTCAACGTCATTGTCGTGGATGCTGTCAGTGCCATGGTCGATGTACTGGTCAGATCCACAGCCGCGCTACTCGCCGTCAAGGTCGACGCACTCACGAGCAAAAGTGAGTTGCTGCTGGCGTCTACCACCTTTACAGAGCCTTCGGTAGTTCCCGAGCCGGCCTTCAGTGTCACAGAACCACCCGTTCCAGACGAGGCTGCCCCACCCGAAAGTGTGAGACTTCCGCCAGTGGAGGTACCCCCGCCACCAGTCAAGGTTAGAGTACCCCCAGTTGACGTCGAAGCAGTTGTTGTTCCGGCAGTGATGTCAATCGCACCACCCGTGCCAGTGTTGGCTGTTCCAACACTGATCGCTATGGCTCCACCTGTACCCCCAGTGGCAGCAGACGACTGAATCGTAATCGCCCCTGAGTTTCCAGCTGTGGATGTCCCAGAACTAAACGTCAATGACCCACTGGATGCTGACGTTGGTGTGGAAATCGTCACTGAGCCACTGGCAGCACTTGTGCCAGCACCACTCGCCATGACCAAGTTGCCACCAGCACCAGCAGTACCAGAACCACCAGTCAATTGGACGTCGCCGCCAACGATACCAGCGCCACCGAGGATGGATGATTTACCACCAGTCATCGTTGACGCTGTAGTGAGGCCAGCAGTAATTGTAATATCACCACCAGCTCCAGTGTTGGCACTTCCAACGGTCAAACTGATGGCTCCCCCTTTGCCACCGGTCGCCGGGGATGACTGGATAGTGATAGCACCCGAGTTGCCTCCACTGGCTGTCCCAGAGCTAAATGTAAGCGCACCACTTGTCGTTGACGTAGCCGACGCCACAGTTACAGCCCCACTAGCAGCACTTGTACCAGCACCACTCACCAGTGAAATGTATCCTCCGATAGTTCCCGTCGATTGACCAGCTGTAAGGACGATACTTCCACCAACTCCGACACCTGCACCACCATTCAATGAAATGGCGCCACCAACAGCACCAGTTGATGTGGTTGTGCCAGCAGTGACAGTTAGGTCCCCTCCAGCGCCTGCTGTACCAGATCCAACAGAGAGTGAAATGGCCCCACCCACACCACCAGTTGCAACGCCAGTGGCAATTTGAATGGCCCCTGTACTTCCAGCTGTGGTCGTACCGGTACTCAATGCAATCTTCCCGCTAACCCCGCTCACCCCACCCGCAGCAGTTTGCACCGAAACATCACCGCTAGAGGTGGCAGTTCCGCTTCCAGATTGTAGAGTCAAGCTTCCACCGTAATTGGTCGGAGAAAGTCCACCCGTCACTGTGACGGCGCCACCAACTCCTGTAGCGCCATCGCCAGCAGAAATCGCAACTGCTCCACCTGTTCCTGCGGCACTGGACACGCCACTTGCAATCGTTACGGTTCCACTTGAGCCTGCAGCTGAGGTCCCACTTGTGATCGCAACATTCCCACTGACACCCGACGTTCCAGAGTCGGACGTCTTCAACGACAGTGCGCCCGAGTTACCACTGGCACTTGAGCCTGTAACCAGGCCAATCGCACCTCCAGTGGCGACTCCAGTACCACCGCTCAAGTACACGCTGCCACCAACACCCGTGGTCGCTTGAGTACTGGCTCCGGCGGCGATTGACACAATGCCGCCCGTCCCAACGCTGCCTGATCCGACTGTCATCAAGATAGAGCCACCCTTTCCACCAGTTGCAGTACCGCTACCAAAGATCAGGTTTCCAGAGGCGCCACTGGATGAAGTTCCACTGCTGAAGCTGAGCAATCCAGACACGCCCGTAGTACCGGCATTGGGACTACTGAGAATAATATTCCCACTTGACGTTGCTGTACCAGGACCCGATGAAAGGGTCAGATCGCCGCCAATATTATTGGCGGACTTGCCAGACGAGATAGTAACTGCGCCACCAACTCCACTTGCACCATCTCCAGCAGAAATTGCGACAGCCCCGCCGACACCACCAGCACTTGATACACCACTTGCAATTGTTACAGTACCACTGCTTCCTTGGGACGACACACCACTAGAAAGAATGACGTTGCCACTCGCGCCAGCTGTACCTGAAGCCGACGATGTCAATGACAAGGCACCTGAGCTACCCGCAGCACTTGAACCAGTAACAATGCCAATAGCTCCTCCGGTTGCAATGCCTGTGCCTCCACTTAAATAGACACTGCCACCAACCCCAGTCGATGCTTGAGTGCTCGTTCCAGCAGTGATTGAGACAATGCCACCTGTTCCAGTGTTGCCGGACCCAACTGTCAACAAAATGGACCCTCCTTTGCCGCCTGCAGCAGCACCAGACCCCAAAATGACATTGCCAGAACTGCCGGATGTAGCCGCCCCACTACTGAAGCTCAACAAACCCGATACACCAGTAGTTCCAGCACCAGCACTGCTTACAACGACATCACCGCTCGATGTTGCGCTGCCCGATCCAGACGTTAAGGTCACCGTTCCACCAGAACCACCGGTTGCACTCAGACCACCTGCTACTGTCACAGCGCCACCAGTACCCGTTGCACCGTTTCCAGCTGAAAGGGAAACAGCGCCGCCTACACCGCTCGCAGTTGATACACCGCTTGCAATAGTAACTGCACCGGTCGATCCGTACGCCGAAGTTCCACTGGATACAACGACGGCACCACTTAAGCCCGAAGTTCCAGCGATCGCCGTTTGAATGCCAACAGAACCAGACGAGCCAGCGGCACTTGTACCCGACACAACTTGAACGCTTCCTCCGGTTGCAATGCCTGTGCCTCCACTTAAGTAGACACTGCCACCAACCCCAGTCGACGCTTGAGTGCTCGTTCCAGCAGTGATTGAGATAATGCCACCTGTTCCAGTGTTACCGGACCCAACTGTCATCAAAATGGACCCTCCTTTGCCGCCTGCAGCATCACCAGACCCCAAAATGACATTGCCAGAGCTGCCAGACGTAGCCGTCCCACTACTGAAGCTCAACAAACCCGATACACCAGTAGTTCCAGCACCAGCACTGCTTACAACAACATCACCGCTCGTTGTTGCGCTGCCAGAACCAGACGTTAAACTAACCGCGCCACCCATGCCTGAGGTTGACACTCCGCCAGCCAAACTCAACGCACCCCCAGTACCCGACACCGACGAACCACCAACAATTGAGACAACACCACCTGCAAACGTAGTCGAAGAAGTCGAGCCGCTCAAAGTCAATGATCCACCAATACCAGAACTAGCAGTTCCAGGTACTAAACTTATCGACCCACCCGTCGCAACTCCAGTGCCGCCGCTCAAGTACACGCTTCCACCCACTCCGGTGGAAGCTTCCGTGCTAGCGCCAGCCTTGAGGGACACGATGCCGCCAGTGCCAGTGTTGCCAGACCCAACGGTCATCAAGATGGAGCCACCCTTGCCACCTGCAGCGGTTCCAGACCCAAGAATCAAGTTGCCAGAGCTGCCCACCGACGACGTGCCACTGC